TGTTTTGTCCATGCAGCGTCCTTGCAAGCTTTGGTTGCAGCAGAGTTCACAATCCTGAATGTTCCCATTTGCGAATGTGATGTAATTCGAATTCAAGCGCGCGATTATATTATTCACTGGAATTCGTTGCTGGAAAGCTTTTATATCATATATTCGAAATAATATTTTCCCGTCCGTTTCTTTGAACTTTTGTATGATTTATGCATTCAAAATAAAAATAAAATCATTTCATAAAGAATGATAAATAATTTTCGAAACACGCGGCTACTCGCTGCAAGACTCTTGAATGTTAAATAAATGAATTTTCGGTGGAACTCGATTACATTTTACAACATTTAAACTTAACCAGATATGAACAATGGTCGACTAGAATAAAACAACTTAAATCAAATTAATTCGTTGCGAAAACTTTAGATTTATTGTGCAGAGACGTTAACGTATGTGAACGAAAAATGTATGTAATGCATTTTATCCATTATCAAACAAATAAATTGCATTTGTTTTTTTTTTGAGAATTAAACGTATTTAACTCGAGTCAAAGATAATTTATTAATATATTGTAATATTTTAAATGTAATATTACTCCTATATTTATTCATCTGCAGTCCGGTGTCTTTATACAGATGAGAATTACGACTTAAAAATTATAATTTAATAAGATTTTTAAACATTAAGTGAATGTATAGTAAGTACATATACACATTTATAAAAATAAATAAATTAGGAAATCGTGGTAACTACTGTAAAAATTACAGTACAAATCCCGCACAAAGTATATTAAATGTACATCAAATGTCAATGCAAATAAAAACATTTGTGATGATGAATAAAATTGTGTAAAGTTTTTATTTCGAAATTATTTTGTTATGCAAAACACCGCGCAGTGTACACGAAAACCGGCGACGTTGACCCGAGGGCCGGGTTAAAAGAAAAACACAAAGACTTCAACACCAACGGCCGATAATCATATTCTAACGTCTGTTCGTGTACGGGCGAGGGGGATAAACAACTGGAAAAACTGAGTATTGATGTTTTATGCGTCTTACCCCCATCCACTCAGTCTCACAATCACCGAGTTCATACTTCAGGGGAGGGGGGGGGTGTCCGGAGAACTGTGGGCATTTCACCAAAGCGAGGAGAAGTTTTCGTTTTACAAAATTCTTAGACTTACCGCGCGGATCGAGCAGTAATACAAACTTCACCCCGCCCCGATCAACACACATTTCAGCACCGCCGGGTCTCAAAATCCGTCTTTATACATATAACATATTTTGAACAGAAATGCTTCTTCGGTTAGGCACCCCTTATGTACCCCTCGGCGGTTTTGTCTCAAACTACAATACTTTGAATTAAAATCGAATCAAACTTCTATCATTCACCGTCAATATTTACGTAGTATATATTATATTATTTTGCAACATATAATAATATATTTAATATCGCGATGGCTATTGAAATAATATTATACGTCATTTCGGTATAACATTTTATTATAATAAATAGTATTAACACCCATGGTGTACATGTCACATGCACGTCACACAACAAACACAAACTTCACTGTTGTGCCGACACAAACGGCAAACATCATCTGGGACGAGGACCGCGAGTGTATAATATATTATATAATTAATAATAGTCGCTAGGTTGTCGTCCGCTGTCGAAGAGCTGCACTCAAGACGCGTACGGCCGTCGGTTTTAGAGAGCCCGTTTGGTATAAGCACAATATATACCTATATAATATATATATATATATTATGTTATGTAGTATAATGAACACTCTGGTCACGTACGCGAAATTAGCGAACGCAATAATGACAAGAATAATAGTAATAGTACTCTCGGCGCCGTGGGAGTGAGCTCAGCTGCACATAATTCGTCACAAATATACATGCATCAAGGTTAGGTTCGTTGGTTGTTGTCGTCGTTGTCGTCGTCGAGAGTCACTTTAAATATTATAATCCATTGTCGAGCACACACACGACGGATACAAAAGTCCCGACCGCGACGGGTCGAATTCCTATATTTCTCGTCCCGATCCCCTCGAGCTAATTCCCGAGTGTTTACTTTACAGCGTATATACAATATAAATATACCTACCTAATATAATATATATTATGTACATAGTGGCTTTTATCCGCCGAAAGCCTATACTATTGACTTTGGACCCGCGCAAGTGTGGGGGTATTCGTAAAATCATTATTACAATTATTGTACGGTCTCTCTTACTCTCACTCTCTCTGTCTCTATCGGTTAGGTCTCTCTTTATCAACTCTCCCTCCCCATTTCTGTACACAAAATCGCGCAAATGTAAACGAAATAACCGAATTACAGCGACCATTGACGTTGCGTGTAGTCGGCTTATTCAAAATTTGCGTAGCAAATTTCTCGTTCCGAGTATATTGAGTATTAGTTAAAGTCACATATATATACATACAGAATATTCCGTGAGTATATATACCCATTAACCGTATATGGAGATTAGCCGCCCGGACAAAAACTTTTTGCCGTTTTATTTACAGTGTTAGGACTTATCTAGATAATTATCCAGATAATAATTATTTTATCTTTTATCTTATCTAGATAAATAAATATAAGTTATCTAAGTATTTATTTTAGATAAATATTTGACTTATATAGATAAATTTAAAAGATAAATTTTTTAGTGAAA